TGAATCCAACGGTTAAGATCTAATTTGATGAAATTCAACAGTAAAAAAAAATTAATAGTCCAAATTTAAATCTAATGGCTAAAGTAATTAAAAAAATCTTTTATTTGTTTCATATTTTTTCATAGTGTTTAACGAGTTTCATGGTGTTGGTTAGTGATTTTTCAGTATTTGTTAGAATCTAAATATTTTTAGGTGAAAATGTTCATAAATTAAATTAAGATAGTCTACATAATTTTTTATTTAAAAAAAAAGTTACTTTAAGAAAAAAAATTAGTTTAAATTCATTTTTTAATAATTTAGAGCTAAAATTTTAGGCCAGAAGGATTTGAGTAGAAAAATTGTTTCTTGGTTAAAACCTAAATTTTATGGGCTAAAAATTTTAGGTTTTAGGCCAAGGGTTAGAGATGGTCTTAGGGGCTTTAGCTGGTGATCCGGGCTGTTTCTCTCTCGACGATGAAGTTTATCCCCCATCGTCTCATTGGCCGACCTTGACTCCTATTATTTGAGGTCATATCTAGTATTCAGATTTTACCTCGATTTGGTACCGCTCTCATCGAAAATCAATTTTACGATATAGACGCTTATGACTTTCCTCTCTATGCCCTGCAGTAATGATTCCTCTAACATTACCACCTTTACCACAACGATGTAGTCCATATGTTGATGAGGTGTGATGCCTAGTAACGGCTATTTTCACACACTACTCATGCTCTCTTTATAACAGAATTGAGAGAAAGAATCCAACGTAGATTCTTGAGTGTTGTAATCGATTTTGTTAGTGTTTTCAAAGCTAATGAGCTCGATTTCCAATTAAATTTAAAGCATGAAATCACTGAGAACGTAATCTCATAGTTGCAGAGTAATGGAGGAAGGAAGAAGGAAACCAACAGTTCTTCACCAATAAGTAAGACGTCTTAGTATCGAATCTCATGAATGTCGAGTTCATTACCAATTTATTCATCACCCCTTAGAATAAATATACCATTGTATAAAATTTAAAAAAACAAATTCTATACCCACACAGCATGTATTCACGAAAGGCAACACAAACCATAAAAGAAAAAGCAACACACTATTTCTAGTACATTTACTGACCATATCTCACATCGAGATAATGTGATACAATATCGTTCCTCTTTTAGCATATCCAGTTTTCGTGCTCATCGAGAATGTATTCGCCAATGCAATAGGTCGTAGTACTAATTTGATTTAGAGTATCTTGAATAGCAAGGGGTGTGATATTTCACTCCTTAAAAATACCTATCTGATTGACTTAAAACCCCAAATATGTTTACAATTGAAGTATCTACAGAACAGGATTCAACCTAAAGAAAATATGCCAGAGGCACAAAATTTTGAAAATTATTGAAATATAGTTGACCCTTTTTTATTTGAACGATACTCTAATCTAATCTAAACAGTAGCTATGAGATTTAGATTTTTAATTTTAGATATTGAGTATCAAGTCCTATGCTGAAAAATCCTCGTTTAAGTTAAGGTTTCAACTCTGTCTCTGGTCAGAAATCCTTACACTAGAATGCTGAGTCTCGTCTTTAAGATTTATGTTCTCGAGTTTTGAGTCCTTCCTCGACCTAACACCACCTTGCTTAGCGTATTTCCAACGAGAGACCGTACGTTAAGATCTCTACCCACTACAACAAATCGGTCATTTACCTAGAAACATTTTAGTGTGAAACTTATCTTTCTCTCTGTAGAATTCCTTTGGCGAGGAAAATTTTGAGTTCTAGCAAAAAGTGAGCTCACTTTGATCTCCATGCTAATGTGGAAATTTTTTTCATCTTACTCTAGGTTTAGTGGGAATTATTTTTTCTTCTCGCCAAAATATTAGCTAGGAAATTATTACTTTTCTTGCTGAATAAAATTTTTAGCAAGAAAATGAGTCCCACTATGGCACTCCTGCTGTATTTCCCAAATGTGTCAAATACGGCGATGTTTTATTCAAAAATATAGTGAGAAATATTTTAATGAGGTTGAATAAGGATTCAACGAGAAAATAATTTCTCGCAGACAGCCCAAGTTTTTTTAAGCCCAATATTTTTCTAAGGGTCGTTTGGCGTGAGAAAAAAGAAAAGAAAAATACCAACTAAACTCATTCAGTCACTTTGCTTCAATCTGTCGCTTTGTCTCTCTTTTTCAACCACACTCTCTCTGTAGAATGAGAAAGCAGTTAAGGGCGTTGCACTCTTGAACGTTCTGAAACACTCTCCAAACTCATTCTTGTTGGTCGAAGACGATAATGGTAAACTTTGCACTCTGTTGACACCCCAAAATGTCACATGCAAGCCCAACCAAGTCTCAAGACCCAATTGTATAAAGACCCCAAACCAAGCCTAAACACATGCAGAGGAATAGAATCGAGAAAAATGAGTACTTATAATCATGCCACGCTACAGTTATTAAACCAGATAGAAATCACGCTATGCCTACGGAAATCCATGCATATACGTCAAGCCAAGCCTTATCACTTTAAATCACTATTCATGCTAAAATAAGCCCATGTCACATGTTTGGGGATTGCCAAGTGAATTGTGGTGTGGATCGTTATGGAAGTTCAATAGGCCTACGTGGAGTCAAGATTATGGAAGACTTTGGGTTGCTTAGAAGCCCAAAGATCTAAGCCAATAACCTTTGTAATCCACATGGGCAAGTTTGAGAGAAAACCAGCCTAGTTTCTTTCTTTCCTTAGCAAGCCAACCAATCTAGTTAGGAAGGAACCAAATCCTAGCCTTAATTTCACATGAAAGCCTAGCAAAGTAGACATTTTAATGAAGAGAGAAGTTGACTTTCATTTCCTAGCTCACTCTGAAGATCAACGCTTGAAAGCCAGGAGACGCATTACCAGAAATAACACATGTGGAAGTTGACCCAGAAAAGCAACGACTCGGAAGAAAGTTCAACGTAGGCTTTACGAGACCAACGATATATATCTATCTTATACCAAGAAGAAAAGCCATAGTGAGACCAGGAGAAAGAAGAAGAAGACCAAGCCAATGTTAGAGATTTCTTGGGAATACTAGAACATGGGTCATTATCCTACAAAAGGAAGGTTAGAAACCATTAAAGGAGATCCAAGAACTCAACCTAGAGAGAAAAGCTTAGAAAGTTAGGAGGATTGTATTGCACCAAGCTAGGAAAATCTCTCCCTTAGTGCAAACAGCCACAAATCCCAGAAAGCATCACCCCTGCAACCTTAGTGTTTTCCATAACCTTCCTCTCAGGATACTAGCCATCAGAAACCTTGTTACCACCCTAGGAAGCCTAGATTATTCAAACAAGAAAACCATGCAACCATGCCAACTCTCTATCTCATGCTAAACCGATAAACTTTTAGCTTCCAATCATGCCTCACTTGAGCAAGTCATTATTTGTTTAACCATGCTATCTTTGAGTCATTAATCCAACTGAGATATTTCCTAAGACGTGCTAATCCTTTCGAGATATTCCGGGACTTGGTACAAAACTAAACTGAGGGAGACAAGAGAACGTTCTCAAAGCCTGAGTCTACCTTAACCTAAAAGTCCCCAACACACCTTCATCTTTTCTTCGTTCTGGTCTCTTAACCATAGCGCCAATTTCCACTTTTCTCTTTTCTCTCTCTTTTTTTTTTTTTTTTTTTTTTTTTTTCCCAGGTTTGCACTTCAATTTATCTTTTTCTTATTGGGTTCACTTTGTTTCCTTCTTTCTATTTTCCCTTATGTGGTATTTGAGCAATGTTAGGGAGACCAAATTGCAAACCAAATGATGTGTCACCAATAAGAAACAAGCATGATAATCAACAATTAATTAATAATCCAATCATTTACAACCATATCATTTAGTTTGCAAATTTGGTTTAAAAAAATTTGGTCTCCCTAATATTACTCGTGGTATTTTGGCTTATAAATATAGACCCGATTAAAATGGAAAATTAATATATTATTTTTGAAATTTTAACCGACAGAATGCCCATGTTGTTGAAAATCATGAATTGATGCCTCTTTCCATTTCATCTATATCACGTATTGTTGTCTCATTCTCTCTATCTCCCACCCATTTCAACCATGATCTCTTGTAAGTTTCAATTCAAAATAGTTGATTTTGATCAACTAAGGGTTGTGTTGTTAACTTATATTTTTTTAATTGGTAGTAGGAGAACTATAATTTCTAGTTGTAAAGCATTGAGAAATTGTATACCATATGCATGATCTCCTCTTAGGTAGGTTGCTTGACTTTTAATTTTATTGTTTTGACCTCTCGTGTTGTCCATGTCGTGAAATATATGTGGATGTAATTTATTTATAAAATATGGATAACAGGACAACATTAAATTATGAACTTGGATGTTGTTGCCTACATGTAACATTTTATACCAATATGTATAGTTTTACATTCCATTACAAGGACTCTACCGCCACTTTTTGACAATTCATTTAGGGGCTTCAACTAAATCTTTGTGTTATTGACTCAAAGATTTATTTTGAAGCACATGAAATCATAAAGTTTTATTTTGATGGGAGTTCACACATATTCCCTCCCGAGCCAAGCAAAACTCACTCTAGTGTATATACCAAAAGACGAGACTATTTTAAAATGCTGATAACAGTTATCTTTGTGTGTTTTGTTAAAGTATTTGAAGTCTCCTAGCCGTTAGGGTTAGGGTTCCTTATTTCTAGGGTTCAGTTTCTAGCCGTGCAAATAATCTCTCTTATTCTTGAGGGACAAACTTATCTTTCTGTTTCTGACTTAGTCATGCACCACGATCTTAGGCCATGTAAATCGTGGGTTGTTATTTCCGATTTCATTGCATTGTAAGGCTATTTAACAGCCACAAGTTTCATTCAATAAACAAGGACATTCTCTCAGGTTTCTAGTGTTATCAGACTATACACGTACAAAAGCTTTCTGCCATTTTCTCTGAGTTCCAACATCTGGTATCAGAGCCCCACCACGAGGCTTGATCAAAACTTGCTACACAGGAAGTAGTGTGGAGGAACAAAGATATGACGTCTGAAGGCAGCTTTGTACAACCTGCGATTCCGCGATTTGATGGACACTACGATCACTGGAGTATACTAATGGAAAACTTTCTATGTTCCAAAGAGTATTGGAACCTGGTGGAAACGAGAGTCACTGCATCAGTAGAGGGAGTTGACTCAAGTGATGCACATAAGAAGGTGATTGATGATCAAAAGCTGAAAGACTTGAAGTGCAAAAACTATTTGTTTCAAGCCATCGATCGTTTGATCTTAGAGACCATATTGAAGAAGGACACTGCGAAGGACATCTGGGATTCCTTGAAGCAGAAATATCAAGGAACAGCACGTGTCAAACGTGCTCAATTGCAGGCTCTTCGAAAGGAGTTTGAAGTGCTGCACATGAAGGTTGGAGAATCTAACAATGACTATTTTGGACGAACTCTCGTCATTGCCAACAAGATGAGGATTCACAAAGAGCACATGGAGGATGCGGTGATCATAGAGAACATCTTAAGGTCTATGGTTCCAAAATATGACTATGTTGTATGATCAATTGAGGAATTAAATGATCTAGATGCTTTGTCCATTGATGAGCTTCAAAGCAGTTTGTTGGTGCATGAACAACGGATTAGTCGCCATGTTGTAGTGGAGGAACAAGCGCTGTAAGTCACATCTGGGACTCAACAAGGAGGACGAGGTGGAGGTCGCAGTAACTATCGTGGAAGAAGAAGAGGAAGGGGCAGATCTGGGTTTGATAAATCAACCCTAGAATGTTACAACTATCATGAGTTGGGACACTTTCAGTGGGAATGCCCAAAGAAAGCATGGGATTCAAAGACAAACTATGCAGAAACAAAAGATGAGATGTTGTTGATGGCGCATGTCGATTTCAAAAAAGCTGGAACTGAACACATCTGGTTTCTTAACTCTGGGTGTAGCAACCATATGAGCGGCAAGAGAGACATTTTTGTTGATCTTGATAGCAGTTTCAAGGAATCAATAAAGATGGGAAATGACTCGAGTCTTATTGTTCAAGGCAAAGGCACAGTTCGAGTGGAGGTAAAAGGGATAGTTCATGTGATCATGGGAGTTTTCTTTGTACTCGAACTGAAGAACAATCTATTAAGTATTGGGCAGTTGCAAGAAAAAGGGTTCACTGTGCTCATTCAACGAGACAAATGTAAGATATTTCACCCTGAGAATGGGCTCATCATTGAAACTAAAATGACTCCTAATAGAATGTTTATCATGGTTGCTCACTGCTCACCACCAAGTGAGAAAAAGTGCTTCTCCTCTCTAACCACAGATCAGGCCACTCTTTGGCACCGTTGATATGGGCACCTGAGTTGGAATGGACTCAAAGTACTTCAACAAAAGAATATGGTGGAAGGGTTACCCCAGTTCAAAGCCATTCAGCAAGTATGTGAAGGCTGTTTGGTAGGACGACATCATCGAGATCCATTCCAAAAAGAAAGCATATGAAGGGCTTCCAAAGTTCTACAGTTGGTGCATGCTGACATCTGTGGTTCGATCAACCCAACCTTGAACAGCAACAAAAGGTATTTAATCACCTTTATTGATGATTATAGTAGAAAAACCTGGGTTTATTTTTTGATAGAGAAATCAGAAGCTTTTGCTACCTTCAAAACCTATAAAGCTAGGGTGCATAAGGAAACTGGAGCATTAATTCGAAGTCTGAGAACAGATCGAGGGGGTGAATTCACATCACAAGAGTTCACAAACTATTGTAATAAGAATGGGATACACAAACAATTAACTGCTGCATACACTCCGCAGCAAAACGGTGTCACCGAGAGGAAAAATCGTACCATAATGAATATGGTACGAAGCATGCTAATAGAGAAGAAAATTCCTAAAACATTTTGGCCTGAAGCTGTAAATTGGACAGTACATGTGCTAAACAGAAGTCCAACCATTGCTATGAAAAGAAAAACATTGATGCGAAATATATAAGCACACAAATTAAACCCTCTTTTTGTCAATTGTAGTAAAGAATGTAAGTAGGGATCGTTCTAGGCCGGGGATTAGGAGGGATTGCTAAATCACTTGGAAACTGACTTCAAAACGTAAAAACAAAGTTTAAAACACTAAACTAGACTCAAAGAATGCAAAACTATACTTTAAAATACTAAGATAAACAAAAAGATTCAAAACAGCAAATAAACACTCAAAACTGCCTTAAAAACACTTTCTGGGCAGTTTTGAACACCTAACACTAAATTGGACGAAATTGGGTTATGACTTGACTCAAGACACTTAAAAACACAAACTAAAGTGATTACTGACTAATCTAACATTTTGAAATAAATGGGAGATTGGTTCTTGACGAATTTGAAAACAAAACAAACTTTGTAAAACAAAACAGATTGTAAATGAATTTGAATGAAACTTATGGATGAGAAGCTAGCTAAGGGGTTCTTCTCCACACATGTTATACTTGCATACAAAATGATTTCCAATTGCTCTTCGACAAACCATGAATACTCAACGTCCCAAATTAACCGTGAATTGCACTAATTAACCCTCAGTTTTTCCACAAGTTATTAGATTGGATGATTGCATACGACAACCCAAAACATTCCCTACAAGTTCCCTACATGAATTGCATAATAGAGATACACGCAAGAATCATTAAGTTCTATGAAAAACATAAGCATTGACGAGGCACTCGTTACTATGAATTGCATGAAACTTATGCCAAGAATTTACTTAACACGATTGTGATCAACAACCTTTACTACTTATGAATATAAGTTCATAACAATTAGGTGAAACTTCCTTATATCCTAGCATCAAACTTATGCATGAAAATTAAGCGTGCACTCTCAACCAACATACACAAATTAGTTTTAATTCATAGAGATAAGTAAATTAAATTCACAATTCATGAAACGCAATTGGAAGTAATCAAATCATATAGCAAGCATAAACATGGTTTTGAATCCCCCCCTAGCCAAGGGGGTTTAGTTCCTCATACTCGCAATTACACAAAGATAACTTAATTTAAACATTGAAATCAAAGATAGAAAACACCTAGAAACGCTCCAACACTCCCAAGGCTTGGGCATAGGCACGGCACAAGATGTTCCTTCTCTTTCCTTCCTTGCAAGCAGCGGCACTAGAGGTTTTGGACGATTTTGGGTGGTTTTTATGGTGTAGAATGGATGGGGAATGGTATGGAAAGGTTTAGGATTGATGGGTGGTGTGGCTAGGGGTGGTTTTTGGATGAAATTAGAGAGAATGGTGGTGGGAAGTTTCGGCTAAGATGGATCAAAATCTGTTATGTTGATGAATATGGGAGGTGGTATTTATAGGCTTGAGAGAGAACCACTCCATTTCCTTTGCATGTGCAGCTTGTGTGGGTGTGTGTTGTCATATTTCCCCTTTACATTTACACACACATGCTTCATCATTTCAACCACCAAACACAAACATTTTCTGCCATATTTTCCTTTACATTTACACACACATGCTTCATCATTTCAACCACAAAACACACACAATTCCTACCCATGTGTGTGTGTTTCCTTTGCCCATGTGTGTGTGTTTCCTTTGCATTTGTAGACACATGTTCTTCATTATTTCAGCCAACAATCCACCCATTTTCTGCCCATGTGTGTGTGTTTCCTTTGCCCATGTGTTGCCTTTCTCTTTTTATTAGCCAAATCTGCTTAGCCCTTTTCTGACCTTTCAGTGTTACAATGACCATAACTTCTTCTAGAAAAATGAGATTAACAATCCGTAAATTGCTCCAGAAAATAGACATCCGTAGCTTTCCACGCATATAAGGCTCATTCTCTCATTCATTCTGAACTGTTTGTAACATGCTTCCAAAGTCAGATAATCTGCACAGGCAGTTTTGACAAATTTGTTACTTAATAATTCACTTGTGCTACTTTTCTTTTCTTTGCTTGATAAATCACACAAAACACAAAAACATAGTAAATAGCTCAAAAATATAAGGAACTAACTAAGAAAAGACAAGTGAATTTTATGTAAAATATATATAAATATGAGCTTATCAAACACCTGAAAAGGCATGGCAGGGTCTCAAACCATCAGTGGAGCACTTTAGAGTCTTCGGTTGTATTTCACATGTTCACATACCTGACAACAAAAGAGTGAAGCTTGAAGCCAAAAGTCTCAAATGCATATTTCTGGGGTAAGTGACGAATCTAAAGCTTATAGATTGTTTGATCCTATATCTTCCAAGATAATTGTTAGCAGAGATGTGGTCTTTGAAAAAGGCCAAGAATGGAGTTGGGATGAGGCTCATAAGCAAACCATATTGGCTGATTTAGAATGGGAAGTTGATGAAGAAGCAAGTACAGAAGAGGAAAACGATGAAAATGGTTCTGAGACAGCTGAAGAACTAGACGAACATGGGTCCAACAACAGTGGTTCTTTTGAAGAAGACACTTCAAATGTCAGCTCACTCCCAAAAGGATGAACACGAAGACCTCCTGCATGGATGAGAGATTATGAGACTGGTCAAGGTCTCTCTGATGCAGAAAATGTGAATATAGCTCATCTAGCCTTATTCACTAATGGTGATTCGATGACGTATGAAGACGCAGTGAAAAGTGAGAAATGGAGGCAAGCAATGGATCAAGAAATCAAGGCAATAGAGAAAAATGAGACGTGGAAATTAACTAATCTGCCACCAGGAGGAAGATCTGTTGGAGTGAAATGGATTTTCAAAACCAAACTCAATGTGCATGGGGAAGTAGACAAGTACAAGGCGCGGCTAGTGACTAAAGGGTACAGTCAACAATATGGAGTGGATTATGCAGAAGTATTTGCACCGGTGGCTCGCTTGGACACAATTCGTATAGTGTTTTCACTTGCTGCACAGAAAGGTTGGTTGATATACCAACTTGACGTCAAATCAGCATTCCTACATGGCGAAATCAATGAATAAGTGTTTGTTGATCAACCACCAGGTTACGTACAGAAGGGAGAAGAATCAAAAGTCTATCGACTCAAGAAAGCACTGTATGGACTCAAACAAGCTCCCCGAGCTTGGTACAGTCGCTTAGAATCATATTTTGTCAAAAAAGGCTTCAACAAATGTCCTCATGAGCACACATTGTTCACTAAAACAACAAATGGAGGTAAAATATTGATTATTTGTTTGTATGTTGATGATTTTATATACACTGTGAACGATGGAGTTATGATTGAACAATTTAAGAAGTCTATGATGGTTGAATTTGACATGACTGATCTCGCAAAAATGAGATATTTTCTGGGGATTGATGTGTTATAGAAGGAAGATGGGGTTTTTATAAGCCAACGAAAATATGCTCACGAGGTCCTTGAAAGATTCAACATGGATTAGTGCAACTCGGTTCAAAATCCAGTGATTCCTGGTTTCAAACTCACAAGGGATGAAGAAGGAGTAGGAGTCAATGGTACTCTTTACAAGCAACTGGTGGGAAGTCTTATGTACCTTACAGTCACACGCCCTGACCTGATGTTTGTTGTAAGCTTAATCAGTAGGTATATGGAACGCCTCACGGAGACTCACTTAAAGGCAGCAAAGAGGATTCTAAGGTATGTGAAGGGAACATCCAGTTTTGGGGTGTTTTATAGAAAGGGAGGAGATGATAAGCTTTTTGGCTACACGGACAGTGACTATGAAGGAGATCAGGATGACAGGAAAAGTACATCAGGATATGTCTTCATGGTGAATTCAAGTGTAGTATCTTGGTCCTCAAAGAAGCAACCAATGGTTACTTTTTCCACTACCGAAGCTGAGTTTATCGCTGTAGCTTCAAGTGCTTGTCAAGTTGTTTGGCTAAAGAGGATTATGAAAAATCTAACTTGTGAGCAGTATGAACCTATTGTTGTGTACTGTGATAACATCTCAACCATCAAACTCTCGAAAAATCCAATAATGCATGGACGTAGAAAGCACATTGACATTCGGTTTCATTTCTTCGAAATTTGGTCAATGATGGAGTAATGGAGCTCAAACAGTGTTCAACCCAGGAGCAGATTGCAAATGTTATGACTAAACCATTGAAGTTAGAAGTGTTTGCAAAGCTACGAGAAGCAATGGGTGTCTGCAAATACCCAGGGATAAACTGATTATCAATGATATTCAATTTAAGGAAGGATGTTAAAGTATTTGAAGTCTCCTAGCCGTTAGGGTTAGGGTTCCTTATTTCTAGGGTTCAGTTTCTAGCCGTGCAAATAATCTCTCCTATTCTTGAGGGACAAACTTATCTTTCTGTTTCTGACTTAGTCATGCACCACGATCTTAGGCCATGTAAATCGTGGGTTGTTATTTCCGATTTCATTGCATT